GTAATGAAAATCTGCCAACTTCCACTGACATAAACAGCCATCACTTCAAACGCTTGGAGAATATAGCAAAAGAGAGTGGACTATCCTTTGCTCTATAAAGCAAAAGGAAGCCTCAAAAAAAAAATCCCTTTATAATCTGTCATATTCTATTTATATTGGTAAACACAGTCTGAATTAGAGGTGGGCAAAACAGGGTCTTTCCAGTCCATGCTAATTTTTAATGTTTTACCATTAAATCCATTCTGTTCTGTCTCTGGTTTAATCTGTGCATTCATTAAAAAAAAAAAACCTGCATGAAAACTAGCATATGCATGTATTTCTGAACACACCTCACCAACATTTCTAGACACGTTTTCTCTCAAATAATGCATTTCCAAATGTATCTCAGAAGACACACTTTGAAACATATTTCGATATGTTTTTTTAAACTGAGAACCCCATTGGAACATTTAAGAAGTGTGAGGCCCGTGGCCCCGGAAGGGAGAATCAGGTCTCTTTGTATCATAATTCACAAAGTGCTAATCCCTCAAGCATCCTTAATCTGAAACTAGTTTCATTCTTTCTGAATTAAGTTAACAGGCAAAATGGCTTACCTCTGTAATATGTTTTTTAAAAACATGGTTGTTTTTTAATTTACTGTTTTTAAAGAGTGCACATGACTATCATTTTTAAAGTTATTAACTTTTGCCCTAAGATTTTCTCAAACCAGAATTTTAGACCTATATTACATTTTTATTTATTTAATGTAATTTGTATTCTGCTTAATTGTAAACTGTTTACATAAAATGAAATATACACTCAACTTACCAGTGAGTCAGAGTTAAAAACAAGTTTCTGTAATACAGTACATGATCAGAGCCATCCCTTAACAACTGATAAGATTATTGTATCAACTATAGCATTATTAATATTTCAATTGCAATATAACATTGCAAGGCAATACAGTGGTACCTCAGGTTAAGTACTTAATTCGTTCCGGAGGTCCGTACTTAACCTGAAACTGTTCTTAACCTGAAGCACCACTTTAGCTAATGGGGCCTCCTGCTGCCACCGTGCCGTTCTCATCCTGAAGCAAAGTTCTTAACCTGAAGCACTATTTCTGGGTTAGTGGAGTCTTTAACCTGAAGCGTATGTAACCTGAAGCGTATGTAACCTGAGGTACCGCTGTATCTAAATGGATTTTTTCTTTGCGGGGGGTGTTAGAAAATGGCAACACTGTACCTGTCTAATTGATTTCTCAGGGTGTTTGGAGAATTTGTAGGGCTGTAATTCCCTTCTATCTATGTGAACTGTGCAAGAACTTGCAGCACCTCACAATGGCCCTTTTGCATCACTGTCCTTCTGTTGCCACATTACAGGTGCCTTTGGCAATATTGGCACAATATGACAACTCAGGGTGACTCCAAGGTGCAGAGACACTTATACACAATCCTTTCCTGTTCACTCAGATACTCACAGAGATTCTTTTAAAGATGGGATAATGGATTTCACACTTAAAAATTGAATCCATTATAGAGTATCAGTTGGAGATATTATTTAGGAAAAACTGGCTTCATGGCCGTGATAGTAGGGAGGAAGTGAAAAAGAGAAGTGTATCTCTCCCCTCAATCTCTTCGCTTCTTCACTGCCTTCACCCTTGAGGACTGAAGCTGCTGTCAGTATGCATTTAAACGCTGATTCTGGCACTAACACATCTCCATTAAGCTTTCATGTTTTATTAAAAAATCAAACAATGCTAATTATCCTCTAGTTTTGATGTCTGAAATAAAAACAAAAAACCCGAAGCCCAAGCATCTCCGATTCTTCATCATTGTAGTAGCACATCTCCTGTAATTGAAAGCCTTGTCAGCAAGCTGCCTAGTGAGACTTATGTACAAAAGATTTATCCTCAGTACCAGGCTTATTCAAAACTCACCTTTAACCTATTATCTAGTGAGCATCCTTAGAGGCCAGGGGTGATGATAATCATAAAATGCATTTTCCTTTTAGCACAATAACATGTGAACAGCACACATTTCAGCAGCCTGCCTTAAGAAAACAGCAAGGTTGCGAACCATTGCAAGTGAAGCCTGGAGTCTTGAAAAGCATCCATCCACAGTACCCAGAAACATGAAGGGGGCATGTCCTGAGAATACCACTGGAAGAAACCCTGCCCCTGTAGGATTCAAAACGACCCGGTTGTGCGCAGCAGTTAAATCTGATTTCGTTATCACAGGAAAACCCAACAGGCATCCCAGGGGGACAAGCTTTGAAGGTGGCTATCTTTGAAGATAGTGCTGACATTCCAAATAACTACTTCTGCCTTTCAGAACTTTAATCGTTGATATTGCAGACCTCACCCAAGGCAGCATCCTTCTTATTCCTTTGATGCTGGGAAGGCGATCATGCGATAGCCATTCCCACAGGTGGTAAGGAGCGGGGGGGACGGGGACGGGACCTAGTGCAAATGAGAACTGGAAACTAAAAGAGCAATTACAGCATGAGAACAAAACAGCAGCAAAATTGTCCACGACAGAAGTTTGTCATTACTGGGGGGGGGGGGAAGGTAAATGCAAACACAAAAATCAATTATTACTGGCAGTGTGCGCTGTGATATTTTTCATTTGCTGGTTCTTAAACCAGCTCTTCTCTGAAAACTATACAGCATGGCAGTCTGGAACAGGCAGTTGTGCCCATACTGAGAGGGTAGAGATGTAGAACAAAGCTTCCTTTTCCTCTCCGGCCAAGGAGAATTTATGGGACAGGTGCTATTTTAGCCTGGTACTTCCTTTTCCTGTAAGACTAATATTAGTATTTTAATACTATTAGCTTTAAGGAGAATAAAACAAACAAGAACAATGAGAATGTTCCAAAAAGTATAATCAAATTGCTTCTCTTTGAATATTCTCTAGCTATTCTCTGCTCAAATATTTGCTCAATATTCACTGAATATTTTATATGCTTCAGTATTTCACTTCAATATTTTTAATTTTTACAGTATTCTTAATTGACAGTGGAATTTTTTACTTGACAGTACCTGACAGCTGGCATGCAATGTTATCAAGTACTTGACAGCATTTGATAGGAGGGAAATACCTATCTAAAAATATTGATTATCAGTAAACAGTGGGCAATAATTTGGAAGCAGATGAGATTTTACATTTAATGGCTGCAAAAGCAAGAGAAGCCTACAGAACTCAGCAATATCTAATTTTGTGGTGAAATTTCCATACTGAAAATTTTACACTCACAATTTGAGTTGTAAAACTGGAAATTCCAAATTTGATGTTAACAGACGTATCAATAACGCTTCAAGGATTTAACACTGTGCTTACAGCTTAATAGTTAAATATGAAAATCAGCTACTCAGTTTTATTTACTTTCCACTAAAATCTACAGTTTACTTACCACATTGTCACCAGCTTGCTGCTCCCAATGTTTGCCAGTTAGGCGTTGCTTTAATTATTTCCTACAAGCACTCATAAACAAATGAGCAAGTTCTATAACAAAGGATTATAAACGTAATCCTAGATAAACACCCAACTCTGTGCAGGGAAGAGCTAGACAGTCAGCTCTGTGTTTGCTGGTCACAAGCCTACGCTGACCAACCCACAACCCCTGAATTAGTCATGGGTGCAGGACTGTTGAGAAGGATGAAAAAGGGCACATTCAATGGGTGAGTTCCTTGGATGAGATGAAGCGATTCCTTATTTCCCAGTGAACTGAGGCAACCAGGTTTGGCAGAGAAGTAGCCTCCAGTCTTTTCAGGCTGAAGCTAATTTGGACCATTTCTCCAGCATCCCTTTTTCCATGGAATTATCGTTCTGCATTTGTGTAAGTTGAGATCTCCTTGGCAGCAGCCCTAGCACACAGACTAAGTTCAAGCTCCAAGGATATAGGTGTGTGGGGTGGTCATGTGGGAGGCAACACCTCAACTGGTATAGATAGTTGTTGTCAAAGTTTATTTCTGCATCCCCTTTCAGCCGCAAAAGGTCCCATGGTGTCTCACGAGGGTTGATGCACAGACAAAATTTGAGTAAAAAGATGCAACTTGCAAAAATGTAAGGCTACAAAATCTCAGCATTTTAAAAAAGGCTGAAACCCAAATACATCCAGTGAGGTAGGCACAGCAAGTGAAAAATCTTGCCCTTTGATGGCCCAGCACATCCCTCCCCACCCCATGCTGGGGAGTGTACATTTTTGGGACAGGCATCCCCTCACTTTCTACCTTTCTCTCACCACCCTCACAAAGCGAAGGTTTGGGGCTGCTGGTGTGGAGCACGAAGATCACCTAGGCTTATCCATAATGATGGCCGATAAGAAAGAGCCAAGAGCGGCAATGTTCTAGTCAGACAAGGCAACGGGGCCAGGATTCTTACCACAATGATGACATCAATCATTAGTGTCTCTCCAGGCTACTAATTCCCTCGTAGATTTCTTCCTCCACAGAAGAATACCCATGGGGAAGATTCTGTGTCAGAATGCAAAATAGATTTCCCCCCAAGAAAAGGCTTCATTGATCCATTTTCTTGCATATAGATCTTTCCAGCAAAACCCACACAGATTTTGTATTCTGATACGATGCTTTGGTATATCTCTTTTTATATTCCTGTCAGAAACACACAAAAAAGTTACATGAGAATTGATCTTGAGTAATTTGTGGTTGGATTACACAAGAACCTTATGACAACTACCTAGCTAAAAATCTTAGAGCATAAACTTGCCTTTTAACCTTCATGGTTGCTATTGAGACTCTTTATGAAATATTTCACTCTTCATTAAGATGCACTAAATAGGCTTTTTCAGTTTCATAATGAAAAAATCCCATTTTGTAAGTACTCACAAAATCAAATTAATATTAATTGTATTCAGCTGTGTGCCAGTAAGGGGAATTTCAATTGCTTCAACCAGAAAGTTAATTTCTTTTTTCTGGAAGCAGAACATTGAACAAAATGGGAGTTGTGGGTCATCCTTTATTCAGCTGGATTTGCTCAGCCACATAAGTGTCTTGCTTTCCTTTGCAGAGAATGCTATTCCGAAGGCCCAAGCCACCTCCAAAACCCGGTATGTATAATTCCTATTTTGATAGCTTCCCTGGGTTGGAATAGCTGCAAGTGGGTGGTCTGTGAGTATGGGGCATTAAGGTGGCTAGGAGGGGGTCAGTTTCCTTGGTTTTCCTCCAAATTTTATTGTTATGCTTTGAGAGGATCTATATTTCTAAACAAGTCTGGCATTCTGAGGATGGAGAGTGACAGAAATGTAGTATACAGTGGGCCTGCAACTTACGTGGGGGTTACATTAGGGGGGTTTGCACGCAAAGGCAAAATCATGCAGAGTGAGGAAGACCTCTGGGACACCCCCCCCCCCGTGATTATCCCTACCTTTTTGGGCTCTGGGAAGGTCACTCAAGGCCTCTGGAAAGCTGTGGGTGGCTCCCGCCAGATCTTGTGGGAGCCTCACAGAGCCTTCCAGAGTTTGGTGAGCAAAGTGGAGGGCTTCCAAAAAAACCTCTGTGGGAGGAACACCTGGTGCAGAAAGAGCTTTTTACAGTAAGCCCAAGATCTCATGGGTCCTTCACAAGATCTCGGATGGCCTCTTCTAGCTACTCACACCCCAAATTCTCCATGTACTTATTTCTTTTCATGCCACCCATGGAAACTTGCAACTGCTTAAGTAAATCACACATAAGTTGTGGGTCTGCTGCACTTAAATTTAAATAGAGTCAAAGTAAGGCCTAGTTCTTATTGAGGTGGTAAACCTATGTCTGGGCTGCACCATTTAAGACTGCAGAAGAGTTCTCACCCAGCCTTAACCCTGACATGCTAACTTTCTCTGTGAATAAGCCTTCAAAGCTATGAGCTCCTACAGCTCCTACAGCCCAGACACATATTTCCCATCTCAGTGAGGCGTAGGTCTAAATTTCACCTCATTCTTGCAGAACTGGTATTGGTCTCAAAAGAAAGGCTGGCTCTTCCTATAGTTCTCATGGCATTTGACTTATCATGTCACAGGGCAGGAGAGCAGGAGACCCCTCTTGTTTTGTACAGGTCCTCCATAAATAGTCTGCTTTGTCAATACTGCAGCCTAACCTGCGGCTTCAGGGCAGCTTCCCAGTCACCCTTCTCCAGGTGCCTTGTTTCCCTAATCTCCATGCCACTTTGTGACACAACAGTAGGTTAATCACCCTGTTCAGCCTGAATGCAACCCATGTCTTCTGAATCTGCATGAGACACTGAAACACAAGTGCTCCCTGGCACTATTTCACCTTGACCCACACTGAGGCTAGTTCTTGGTCCTTGCTGAACCTTGCCCTTCCTTTCACTGAAGTCTCAAATGGTGTCTTCGTGAGGGAATAAGGAAAGGATCTATTCTGACACTGAACTCCCCATAGATTACAATTTGAGAAGCCTTCTTTGAGACAGAGGGCTGGTTCTCGCATTGACTCAGACAGTCCATTCTCATGGCAGAAGTAATTTAATTAGCTCTAAATCATCCCTGCTAGGCAATGTCAAGTCTGATTCCGAATATATTCAGAGTTGGCAAATTATCTTCAGTGATTTCATGTTGCCTCTTTGCTGCTTGTTCCAACATTTAATTGCTCTTTTTGCCAGGGACTTTATTGAAAGCCTTTTTATATAGGGGTGGCTAACACCCCAGAGGATAGGATCACACTTCAAAACGACCTTGACAGATTAGAGAACTGGGCCAAAACAAACAAGATGAACTTTAACAGGGAGAAATGTAAAGTATTGCACTTGGGCAAAAAAAATGAGAGGCACAAATACAAGATGGGGGACACCTGGCTTGAGAGCAGTACATGTGAAAAGGATCTAGGAGTCTTGGTTGACCACAAACTTGACATGAGCCAACAGTGTGACGCGGCAGCTAAAAAAGCCAATGCAATTCTGGGCCTGCATCAATAGGAGTATAGCATCTAGATCAAGGGAAGTAATAGTGCCACTGTATTCTGCTCTGGTCAGACCTCACCTGGAGTACTGTGTCCAGTTCTGGGCACCACAGTTCAAGAAGGACACTGACAAACTGGAACGTGTCCAGAGGAGGGCAACCAAAATGGTCAAAGGCCTGGAAACGATGCCTTATGAGGAACGGCTAAGGGAGCTGGGCATGTTTAGCCTGGAGAAGAGGAGGTTAAGGGGTGATATGATAGCCATGTTCAAATATATAAAAGGATGTCACATAGAGGAGGGAGAAAGGTTGTTTTCTGCTGCTCCAGAGAAGCGGACACGGAGCAATGGATTCAAACTACAAGAAAGAAGATTCCACCTAAACATTAGGAAGAACTTCCTGACAGTAAGAGCTGTTCGACAGTGGAATTTGCTGCCAAGGAGTGTGGTGGAGTCTCCTTCTTTGGAGGTCTTTAAGCAGAGGCTTGACAACCATATGTCAGGAGTGCTCTGATGGTGTTTCCTGCTTGGCAGGGGGTTGGACTCGATGGCCCTTGTGGTCTCTTCCAACTCTAGGATTCTATGATTCTATGATTCTATATTCCTACATCGTATCTCTGGAATGAGTGGCTGGAGGCTCTTCCAGACTCAGGACATGGAGCCTCCATCTGCTGCTAAACCAGTTCAAGAGCCTGATTATATGCTGAAGCCAGACCCACATGCTGGCTTGTTCCGGTCCAGTTGTGCCACACATTCCCACACAGTCTGGGCCAAGTGTGGCACGCAGCACAAGAGAGGACAAGGTTAAATGAAGCAGACAGGTAATGGTGCTCTTTCCTTTTCTTACTTTTCATCCAGTCCTCCACCACCGGAGAAACCAGCCCTTGCCAGACAAGTAAGAAAGAACAAAATCAAATCCCACTGTTTCCTTTGAGAGGGAAATAATAACTGAGGGTGCATGTACACAGCTGTGCAAAACACAAACTTAGATTCATAGAGTTGGAAGGGATCCTGAGGATCATCTGGTCCACCCCCTGCAATGCTTTCCCATGTGGGGATCAAACCCGCCACCTTGGTGTTATCAGCACCACGCTCTGACCAACTGAGCTTCCAGGCTGACAAAGTTTATGCTCTTGGGACAGTTGCAATAGTATAACCCTCTAAGTGTCCTGATTTCCCAGGGACAGTCCCGGAATTACAAAAGCCATCCCAGCTTCTGATTTGATCCCGGAATGTCCCTATTTACCCAGCCTGTGCTGCCACCACTGAACTCAGGGTGGAGGGTGAGCCAGCACTTGCCTGAGTGGCGGCAGAGAGGGAGCATCCCATGGCCTCCCCAGGGCTGCTGCTGCTGCCGGCCTCCTTCCTTGGGCAGCTGCTGGAGAGCAGGTGAAGAAGAGAGGCTGCTGCCTCTTAAAATGAAATCAGGATTGAGGATGGTGGAGGGTGTGTTTGCTGTGTCCTATTGATAATAATAATAATAATAATAATAATAATAATAATAATAATAATTATTATTATTATTATTATTATTATTTATTATTTATACCCCGCCCATCTGACTGGGCTTCCCCAGCCACTCTGGGCGGCTTCCAACAAAATATTAAAATACGGTAATGCATCAAACATTGAAAGCTTCCCTAAACAGGGCCACCTTCAGATGTCTTCTAAAAGTCTGGTAGTTTTTGTTCTCTTTGACATCTGGTGGGAGGGCATTCCACAGGGCGGGTGCCACTACCGAGAAGGCCCTCTGCCTGGTTCCCTGTAACTTGGCTTCTCGCAGCGAGGGAACCGCCAGAAGGCCCTCAGTGCTGGACCTCAGTGTCCGGGTAGAACGATGGGGGTGGAGACGCTTCTTCAGGTATACTGGGCCGAGGCCGTTTAGGGCTTCATCAATAAAGTGGTGGCGGCACTCACTCTTCTTCTGATAGGAAATGTTCTGCAGGGCGGGGGGGGCAGGGGTTCAGGAGAGTCAATTGAGGGGAGTGAGAAACCTCCATATTTTCATCTGAGGAAGGTTGGAGGGTATACCTTCTGGGGGTACATACAGGAACTTTTCAATGAACCAACTTCACTATGCATATAACATGTCTCGGTTATCTTGGGGGAGGAAGAACCCCCTTGGCAAGGATAGCAGAAGAGATGGCAGTCCTGCCGCAACGGCCAAGGCTGGGTGTGTTGCAGCAGGGTCAGCAGGTGCCCAAGGTCCAGGCAACCAGGCAGGCAAAGCAGCGTCCAAAGGCAGCCCAAGATCAGGGCAAGCAGAGAGCCGTCTGATGGTGCCCCTGGAGCTGAGTTTTAAACTTGCTCCTATAACAACCTGTCTTTTAGTTACTTGTTTTAATTATCCATATGAGGTTAGCTCCCAGAACAAGCTCTGTCTTTAATAGGCAACATACTTTTTGAGGAAATGGGATTTCCCACTGGGTTTAAAGTACTAAAACAGCAGTATGAAGAAGCTGGTGCATGCTGCTTTCAATGTAAGCAGTTTGCTGACTCCCTCTCCTCCTCCACTCCCACTCCCCATGGAAAGATGAGGAGCAAGGAAAACCCTTCTATTTGTTAACTCTACAAGCATAGGCTGAACTTTTCTGCTGCATTTTGTACTCTCTGCTCGCTGGTCTGTGCTGCCGTTTTAAACTGGAAGAAGAAGAGCTTTGCTGAATTGTTGACTTATACTAGCTGCTAATGTGAGGCAGCAGAATGTGTTGACTTATCCTGGTGACTAACATGATCTCGCTAATGGGTTCAGCTGAAGAAAAGGGCTGCTCTTGTGTGCCAATCCTCCACTGGTGCAATTTGCTCTCTAGGCTTTGCTGGGATTTAAATTGCATTTCCTTCAGTGTTTGCTCTTTCAGAATTGGCAGAGAGGATAGGGAGGGGAAGTCAGAGATTCCTTACCATCCTGAGGGCTAAACGGGCAGTGAGAAACTGGCAGCTTTAGTTAATTTTGGCAGTAGTAGGGGCTTCTACACTGGGGCAAAACTGCCTTCTTCCTAAAATGCTCACCCAGTGCTATAAGAAGAAACAAGTCCCATCCCACCAACAAATTCAGTATGAAAACTGCTGGCCTGGTGCAGAATGCAAGCACCTTGGGTTTCTTGGTGTGCTTGGGTGTGCTGACATCAACCTGGTCTTAGTCACAGTGATGTGTCTGCG